AAATCACCCCCCAGGGGGGATGGTCACGCCGCAATCCCTTCTCCTCCATTCTCCTCCCGGGATCTTGGGCACGCACGCACACGCGCCCAGCGTGAGTTCTAAGCCACTGGGTCCGGGACTCGAACCGTGGTCGACTACATGGGAGTCCAGCGACATAGCCATTACGCCAACTGCTGGTTCCCGAGAAGTTTTTTGATATAGGGCACGTGCACTTGCCAGAAAGACAGAGAGAGACAGAGAAAGAAAGCGAGAAATCACCCTCCAGGGGGATGGCCACTCCTCGATCCCTTCTCCCCCATTCTCCTCTCGGGATCCTGGATACACGCCTGTCCGGCATGAGTTTAAGCCACTGGGTCTGAAACTCAAACTGTGGTCGACTACATGGGAGTCCAGCAACATAGCCATTACACCAACTGCTGGTCCCAAGATGAAGTATTTCTTAAGACAAATAATTTATGGGACCAGCAGATAGCGTAATGGTTATGTCGCCAGACTCCCATGTAGTCGACCATGGTTTGAGTCCCGGACCCGGCGGCTTAAAACTCATGCTGGGTGCATGTGCATGCATGCCCAAAATCCTGGGGGGGAAATGGAGGAGAAGGGATTGTGGCGTGACCATCCCCGGGGGGTGGGGAGGTGATTTCTTGCTTTCTGTCTCTTGGTCTCTCTCTGTTTCTCCCTGTCTCTCTGGCAAGTGATGTGCCCTACAGCAAAAATATCTCTTAAAAAAAAAAAAGAAAGAAAATTCAGAAGTAAAAATAATCTTGGTTTGATGGCTTGAATAATAGAAAATGTCAGATTACTTTGATTTCCCAACCTTTTTTCTTGCTAGAGGATTTGTGAGCTTGCCAGAAAAACAGAGAAATAGAAGAGAAAGCTCCCCTCACGGGAAACAGTCACTCCATAACCCCTTCTCCTTTATCTTGCCCTCCTTTCAGCATTTTGGACACACACACACACACACACACGCACACACACGTGCGCACGCGCGCCTAGCGTGTTTCTCAAGCTGCCAAGGGACTCAAATTGCGTAGTTGACCATGTGGGATCTGGTTGCCTACACCACCAGGTCATGGAGTTGGCCACAATCTATTTTTCTGTAATCCTCAAATTCTATCTCAGAGAAATGGAGTCCAACTGCCTCTGAGGGACTGGAAAATAATAAGTAAAATAGTAGTGGAGAGCAGGTCAAGATTTCAGCTGGAAGCGACTGCATCCACAAAGTATCAGGTGTAGGTTCTATGCGGAACCGAAGCCTCTGCCCGAAGTTACCCTGTCTCAGGTCACAATGACCGTCAGCAGCTATGAGGTCCAGAATCTCTGCGACCTTACGACGAAGGCTCCTTCGTTTCTAGATCCTGGCGGATAAACTTCCACCCATTCACCAACGGTGCCTCAATCCACCCTAACAGGGCTATGGGCTTTCCCCGACCGTTTCCTATTCTACTCTTCCTGATAACACCACCACACGTGGGGTTCTGCTCTCTGCAAATCGAATCCGCTCCTCCAGCAGTGAGTTACTGGCTATACAGCCACCTGCCTTGGTAACACCATCTCTGGCTGGGAGAGGCCCTAGGTAGGAACACACCAGACTCCCACTGTTCTTATTCAAAGCTCAGCAGTTGTCATGATATACTTCTCAACTTGTTGTTTACCTTTGGTCAATTACCAGAGACCTGGCTTTAGAGGACAATTTTGTCCAATTTTATATTTGCCTTTGAGGAGTGAGAATTGCAAACTCTTTGCTCCACCATCTTTGAAAGCTCCACCTTTTCCTGACTGTAGTTTTTACCAGAGAATGAAAAGATGTGGGACAGAAGAAAATTCAGGACAGAGCCCGTCAGTGGCACAAGAGTAACACAGCTGGACCCGTATGGAGAGAGCCGAGTTCACCTCCCAGGGCCGCCCTGAACACTCTGGGAGCACACGTGTGTACCCATGGTCTAGCTGGTGAATCTAGAGGTGAAAGACCCTGTTGGGGATGGTTGGGATGGGGCCTTTCCTCTCTCTCTCTCACGGAAGAAATAAACAAATTTAAAAGAAGATGAGCCAGAAGGTGGCATGGACATTAAGGCAGCTGGATCCCACGTAGTCAACCACAGTTCACGTCCTGGACCCGGTGGCTTAAAACTCCCACCAGGCGCATGTGCGTGCATTCCCAAAATCCCAAGAGGAGAACAGAGGAGAAGGTACTACAGCATGCTGATCCCCCTGGGAAGGGGGGATCCTTCTCTCTCTCTGTCTCTCCCTGGTGAATGCACATGCCCTATGGTAAAAACCTTTAAAAAAATTGAGGGGCCAGTAGGTGGTTTAGAGGTTGAGGTACTGGATCCCACATGGCCAAACAAGTGGTTCTTGTCCTGGACCCAGTGGCTTGAAAACCCCACCAGGCATGTGTGTGTGTGCATGTCCAAAATTCTGAGGGAAGACCAGCGGAGAATAAATGGCAATGTGGTCATCATCCCCCAGGGGCGATTTCTCACTTTTGTTCTCTCTTTCATTCTCTCTCTCTGGCACACATACATGCTCTATAGCAAAATAATAATAATTAAAAATAGAATAAAGTTGAAATTACCTATTGGTATCTCTGCATAAAATTTCTAGTTTAGTCTCAACAATACACCTATCTGTAACATACACACATCACACAAGAGCTGATAGCTACATTTTAAGGATAATCTAAATGACTGGAAGAAATCATGTAAGAAAAAAATAATTACAATCAGCATTAAATTATAACTAATGTTCCATATTTGTATAGCACAAAAACAAGATAACATTTAAAAACAAAACTTCGACCTCTAGTAGCAAGTCAAGAAAGGGGTATAACTCGACCTCCTCCTCTTGTGTCTATGACTACGAGGGAAAAGAAAGTGACTTACCTCGATAGCGAAGATTCCTTTGTCGCGCCCATACAGTTTCATCTCTTCTGGAAAATGCTGAAAAGCATTCATGTAAGGAATATGCCCCGCTTCAACAAATCTGTATTTTTAAAGAGAAAGTTTCAGCTATGTACTTAGAGTAAACTCTTTGTGAAAATCTCTTATTTCAAAGACAAGGTAAGAGTCAGTGAAGCATATTCCACCTCTCACATGTATTTCACATTCATTTACTTCTTCCATGAGTGAGACAAACAGAGAGAGACAGTATCCGCAGCAGGGCTGTCCTGATGCCATGAGCCGGCCGTCTTCGGCTAGCCCCAGATCGTGGTCAAGTGTGCACCTGGTGTACTCCGGGAGCTCTGGGGACCTAACTCAGGGGCCTTCCCAGCTGGGCCGGCCTCATGGAGCATCGCGTTCTACAGCTGTCTACCGCCTGCCTGCCCATATATTAAGGATAAATCGGATCAGATCTACTATCTCTACTGTATAAACAATTTAGCCAATGGCTTCATAATTTCTTGCTTCTGACTAAGTAGATTAAATATGTCCTAAGAAGTGTGTGCCATTCCTGTCATTTCACCACCGAGCTGTCCAACACGGCACTCCTCCTCTCTCTAGCTCCCCTCATGTGATGCAGGCCTACCCGTCTTGAAGACCCCTCTTCAAGGAGCCTTTTCTAGAGCCTGTTTCTGCGACGCACACCCTTACCCACGCTTCTGTCCCAATAGGCGTCCCTGCGCGTGGCATGTGCATGCTGCTAGAGAAACCAACAGAGAAGGGACCCTGCCTGCTTGCCCGCCACTCCATCCTGATGCCTAGTACACAGAAGATCACATATTCTGAGTTGAATATTGAGTTTAAAGAAACTAGCATATACATATAGACAAATATGCTTATTTATAATTCATTCATTCATTGAAATTTATTAAGTACTATTGAGTCATCTGAAAAGTCATGATGTATATTTGCATAGAAAAATATGAGAAAATATGACATGACTTTTTTTTTTTTTTTAAGAGGTTTTTGCTATAGGGCATGCACACTCGCCTGGCAGAGAGAGAGAGACAGAGAGACAGAAAGCGAGAAGTCCCCCCCGGGGGGGTGGCCACGCTGCAATCCTTTCTCCTCCATTCTCCTCTCAGGATCTTGGGCACGCATGCACACATGCCCGGCGTGAGTTTAAGCCACAGGGTCCGGGACTCGAACCTCAGTCGACTACGTGGGAGTCCAGCGACATAGCCATTATGCTAACTGCTGGTCCCGATGACATGACTTTTCTGACAGCCCAGTATATACCCAATACTGTTCTTTTCTTTTTTTTTTTTTTAATTTCAATTTATTTATTTGCATTCATTCACTGTACATCATTACAGCATACAAAATGAGATTTTCCATTCAGAGTACACTGTATATTGTCTCAATCAAGCACATCAACATACATGTTATTGTCAGCAAATAATTTTCCATTTCTTATTTTCTGTATGTTTTGCTCCCCCCCCATCCTTGATTCCCTGTCTCTTACCCTCTGCCATCTCCCACTCTCCTCCCACACTGTCTCTGGTATCTATGTTTGCTTTCTATACTGTTTTCCCCCCACATTTTATTGAATTACTAAAGACCTTAATTAATCTAAATATTTT